GCACAGTTCTACAATCAAGGAGCTGATGGATGCCCTCCTACTCCCAGAAGAAGTGGCCATTCTGAAGGTAAAGGCACATGGGAAGTTGGATTCAGATGAAACAAGGGGCAACCATCTGGCTGATCAAGCTGCAAAACAAGCTGCAAGAGAACTACAGGAAGTGGACAGAAGTGTGTCCGGAAACGAAGAAACTCCCACATCTACCTTGGAGACACTTCCAACTGATCTAAAAATCCTACGGGAACAACAGGCTGCAGTTTCTCCTGAAGAAATACAAAGATGGAAACAGAAAGGGGCAGTTCTGAAGGATGGAGTGTACTCCAACAACCTCAAGTTCTGCCTCCCTAAGAATTTGTACCCAGCAGTCGTACAATGGGCACACGGACCTGCACATTTATCAAAGGATCTAATGAATGCTCATGTACAAAAATACTACGAAGCACCCGGAATTACTACACTAACCAGTAACTACTGCAAGGCCTGTGTTATTTGTGCTAAATGCAATCCAGGAAAAACAATCAAAGTTCCTCCAAAACATCTGGTTAAACCCATGTATCCATTTTAAAGGATTCAAATCGACCACATCCAGATGCCAAAGAGTGGTCACTATGAATATGCACTAGTGATAGTGGACATGTTCTCAGGCTGGCCAGAAGCCTATCCAGTAGTCAACATTACCGCCAAAACAACAGCAAAACGTCTACTCACAGAAATTGTATGTAGATTTGGACTCCCAGAAGTTATTGAAAGCGACCAGGGCCCAGCTTTCACAGCATCAGTAACTAAAGAGATTTGGACTGCCCTAGGAGTGACCCTCGCATTCTACATGCCTTATCACCCACAAAGCAGTGGCAAAGTGGAACGCATGAATGGTACCCTAAAAGCTAGAATGTTAAAAATGTCACAAGAAACAAAGATGCCCTGGCCAGAAAGCTTGTCAATAGCTCTATTCAGTGTCAGACACACACACCCTGGAACCAAGATTTGACGGACCATTCCAAGTTCTACTGATCACCTCCACCTCCGTCAAGTTGGCTGGGAAAAGCAACTGGATACACGCCTCCCATTGCAAAAAGGTTCCTGTCCCAGAGGAAGCAGACTCCTCACAACCATGTACCTCTGGTACATCATCCCTTTGATTAGTTTCCTTGAGGCCCAACAAGTGGCCATTACCAAAGATGCTAGTGGGTACACATTCTGGTATAATTCATCATGCACCCGCGTAGCTACATTCACCTTTGATTACTGTGACATAGTAGATTGTCCATTTCCCAAGTCACAGATTCAAACCATTTACAAAGATATACCACACGCAAAGGATCCCTATGTTTGTGTAGTTGACAAGCAATGGGGACACAACTGTGACCATTGGGGGGGCTGCAGGATGGAATACTGGGCCTGCCTGGGGTTACAAGCACAAAAGTGCCTTATCTAAAGTAGATGACCATGGCAGATCCCTCCTTCAAAGAATGACTTTAAGAAAGCCAGGAGGAGGTCTGCCCATGAAATTAATGTTAAACATTGAGCACCCTGGTCCAAAGGATGCTGACCAATATGTAATGGGAATGTATTGGAAAAGTGGTTCCTATAACAAATTAGGTCATTTCTATCTTAAAGATATGTGCCACTCTCCAGAGTGGCACGGGGCTGTTCATATGGTCCCGAATCCACTAAAACCACATATCCAGTCTTTCAAGGACATGATGGCCATTGCTAACCCCACCTTCGAAGACACCATGGCCACTGAAACTGGTTACAATTATATCAATCTATGGTTAGAGTGGATGAAATATAATGCTAATAAACATAACAAAACCGCATGCTATGTGTGCGGTGGTGCTCGACCTCATCTTGGCACCGTTCCTCTAACTCTCCCTTTGGAGATAGAGAATTGCTTCCTTAGTCTTTTTGCCTACCGCTATAATTTCAACAGATCCCTCTGCGAATCATGGGCGGCAGAGTACCCCCTCTTAATTGGAAATGTCAAACCCCCAGATGGAATCACGATTTACAAGAGTAATTACACTTTTTATGCTATTTATGACGGGATTGGTAAATTCATGGGTAACTTTTCCAATGGCTATTGTACCACCTACAGAACTGTTCCTATACGCCTGTTGCAACACCATACCAGGTCATTGGGGGATATTTACTGGTTATGTGGGGATCTACAGTTAAGATCTAGGCTGGAAACTGAGTGGTGGGGTGAGTGTACCCTAGCCAAAGTTATCATGCCCATTCATATTATTTCTGATAATCATCATGACACATACGACCCTCCACATACACCAGCCAGAGTGAGGCGCAAAACCCCAGTAAAAGGCAGTTTTGACCCCCACATTTACATAGATGCCGTTGGGGTACCTAGGGGGGTGCCTAATGAATTTAAAGCTAGAGATGAAGTAGCTGTAGGTTTTGAATCACTTTTTACCATAGTTACTGCCAACAAAAACCTTAATTGGATTAACTACATTTATTACAACCAACAGCGTTTTGTCAACTACACCAGGGATGCCCTCCAGAGCCTGGCCGAGCAGTTGCAGGCCACATCCCAGATGACCTTCCAGAACAGAATGGCCTTAGACATGATTCTAGCTGAAAAGGGGGGTGTATGTAAAATACTACCTGACACCATGACTTGTTGCACTTATATCCCAGAAAACACAGGTCCAAATGGTAAAGTCACTATGGCCATAGCGAAGTTAGAGAAACTCTCAGAAGAGTTGAAAAGGAATTCTGGGGTAACAGATCCCTGGGAAAGGTGGTTTGGTTGGATGTCAGGTTGGCAGAAAGCTTTACTCCATATTGGTATGGCTCTACTAATTTTCCTTTTTGTTCTCTCTCTTCTCGTTTGTTGTGTCCTCCCATGCTTTAGAAAATTCTTACAGAAGACTACAGACCAAGCGACACTAACTCTCACTCATCTGACAATCGATGATCAAGATCTCACCTCACCCTGTATTCCGCTACTCTCCCATATACTGATGAAGTGCAGATGTTCTAGGAAGGGAACCAGCGCAGGGACAGCATCTGTCTCTACAGGTGAGTCTCACGTGCGGAGATGTGGTGGACTAGCCGCTGCGGGTTACCCACGGAGTGAAGTGTTCGATGCTTGTTAAGACAGATGAGCTGTAGCCTGTTGGGGTCAGATAGGGGTAGACATGCACTTTGCAATAACACCAAGCTAGCGACCACAGGGTTTCTGTGTCTTTGGGCTAACAAGTCTTCTGGTATTAACAAATAAAGTTTATCTTTTAGTAACTTACATTTTAAGGGGGGACTGTTGTAGAATTATAGAATTCTTGAAATTATCTAAGCTAATGCTTTGGCAGGAAGAAATGTGCTGAATAATAAAATGTGTATTTACTAAAAGAACCTTGAAACTAACAATACTAACTACTCAAAATGGCTGCCAAAGCACCCCTCCCATCGAGTGAACACCTCGTGCTAACAAGATGGCGCCTACATCTTGTGTCCACCCCCGTGTCAAGGATGACATCACCTCTTGATAGGAGGGTATCTAACTAACCACTTAACACCTGGACCAATCAATAGTGTCTATTTGCTGTTATCTTGAATTCTTCAGTGATGTAATAATGCCTTTAAAAGGGTCTGCGCACCCATTTTCTGTTAGAAGCCATTAAACTTCTCCGAAGTTCTTTCATTAACCTGAACTCTGTGTCTCAGTGTGAATTTACTTCTGCGTGCACGCAACTTTATTATCTTTAATTTGGACAGGAACAGATAGTCATTCAAACTAATTGGTTTGCAGAAAATAATCTACTACACCTTGATGTGGCAGGTGAGCTTATATATTCAAATGGCCATTGGAATAAAACTAAAGAGCCTCCATTTTGTTTAAATGTACATGGGGATTTAGGCCAGAGCGCAGGTAACGTTCTCTTTGTTTTTACTAGGTTAGGTATTGTATATTTTTTGTATTACTTAAAAAAGAAGAAGCCGGTCTACGTTTTTAATTACTTTGTGGAACTGGATATATCACATTTTTGTTTTCTCCCACCCTTTATCTTTGTTTCTTACTTTTAACTACAACTGACACTACATATGAAAAAACTCCCCGTGTTATTCTCTTCCATCTACAAAGGTTGACTCTCAAATTTCCCAGAGATTTCTTAACAAACATTAATAAATCTCTGTGAAATCTGGGTTAACTGTTGCATATAGAACAGAATGATATAAGGAGTATTATATATAGTATCTGTTGTAGTGAAAGGTAAGAAACACCCACACTTACTCACCCAACCTGTTGTGAGATCATTTTTATAGTTTGACTCTCCAGGAGGACTGACATTTTTCGCTGTTTATCTCTTCAACCCATTCATCTAAAGACTATTGGCCTTTGAACTCTCCAGATATCAATGTTCTATTCCCACTGCTCCCCATTAGAACCTTTAGATTGTAAACTCACGAACCCTCTATGACCTTATGCAAATGCTAGATTTGGGAAGGTGTTTCCTTTTGGACTGGTATGTCTAAACTGAATTATTTGTTTTCTCTCATAATATCTTTGGAATATGCTTTATAAACACTTAAGCCGGTCCTGTTATGTATTTATTTATTTTTACCTTTCCTTGTGCTAGTTGTATCTTATTATACTCCCCCTCCTTGCCACATGCTTTTATTTATAGTTATTATCTTTTCTTTTCTTGTACTGATTCTCAATACCTGGGCTTCTCTGTTTTGTTCTCCTCTGTTCATCTGCTGCTTACCCACTGATTTATTGTGGATACATTTAGATCTTTCAATCACACAGGTTTGATCCTATCTATCTATCATCTATCTATCTATCTATCTATCTATCTATCTATCTTTCTATCTGTCTGTCTATCTGCCTATTTGTCTGTCTGTCTATCTATCTATCTATCTATCTATCTATCTATCTGTCTGTCTGTCTGTCTGTCTATCTATCTGCCTATCTGTCTGTCTATCTATCTGTCTGTCTGTCTATCTATCTATCTATCTGCCTATCTATCTGTCTGTCTATCTATCTATCTGTCTATCTATCTGTCTGTCTGTCTATCTATCTGTCTGTCTGTCTATCTATCTGTCTGTCTATCTATCTATCTGTCTGTCTATCTATCTGTCTGTCTGTCTGTCTATCTATCTATCTGTCTATCTATCTGTCTGTCTGTCTATCTATCTGTCTGTCTGTCTGTCTATCTATCTATCTATCTGTCTGTCTGTCTATTTAACTATATGTCTAATATTCTTTCTTTCGACCTATTTATATCTATCTATCTATGTATATATGTGAAAAAAATATGGTCCCGAATCCACTAAAACCACATATCCAGTCTTTCAAGGTCTTTTAAAAATACCCAGGAAAGAAAAGCCTTTGAAGCCAGAATGATTAAATGGTTTAACAGCAAGAAGAGAGGACTAAATATTGATTTGGGATTCCTGTCCCACTACCAACACTTTACATGAACACTCTCCCAGTGTTCATGTGTACCAACACTTTAAAATGCATTCCTATATGCTTATTCTTTATATACAAAGTACCATGTGTAGACCTATGCTTTCCCATACTCGTATGCATGAATGCTTATATATATTACTGTGCATTTATATTTGTGTATATGAGTCCATGTGCATGTATGTATATGTGTTTATGTATATGTATATATACATGTGTTTATGCGTTCACATATACATATTTCTGTGTGTGTGCATGTATAAAGTGTATCATCCTGTGCACTGTCTGCTTGTTTGTTTTTCTTTTCCCTCTCTCCCCCCTACTCTTCTCTTCAACAAGATATTTATGACCCTCTGCTAAGATGGTGTCTATTTTCTAACAAACCTGTGTCTTATCTACACTCATGTCGCTTTAACCCCTGTATCACAACTCAACTTTGAATTCTATGTGTCGTTTTGCTCAGAAATGCTTCAGACTTGAGAAAGGGAGGTTCTCCCGAAAGCTTGTCATTAAAAAACTCTGTTAGTCCAATAAAAAAGGTATTACAAGATAAGAATTTTATCTGTTTTTTTACATCTATGTATATATATATATATATGTAGAAAATTCTATCTATCTATCTATGTATATATCATCTATTTATCGTTCTTTCAATCTTTCCCTCTCTCTATCCCAAAATGAGCAAACTAAAAAATAAATACAATCTCCAAGGTGGCTGTGTTTTTCAAAGTTAACCATTTTTAACTTAAATGTATTTAATTTCTGTCAGTTTACAGGAAATAACTGAAATCTTTGAAGATTTCCTTTAAGGTTTTTTATTCTTTCCTTCGTTTACTCTCTTGTGTAATTCCTTCTAAATAATGTATGCACACCGACACTGTGATAAGATAATTGGAATATTCGTCACAAATGTCAGTAGGGCGTGGAGCTATAGATGTTCTGGGTGTTTCCTCTCTCTCATTCAGAGCTGAACAATCCAAAGGAACAAAGTACAAAATAGTAAGCCTTCAAAAACGTTTAACCTCTATTTTTTATGTATTTCCTATTTTCAGCTTGGTTTATATATTTTACTGTTCCAAATAGTCCCTTCTTTTCATCCAGTTTTTATTCCGCATGACCTGGCGAATAATCAAGGTGTTTTATCTTTTCATGGATTTATTATTACTTCTTTCTAATTTTTTAAAAATTTTTTGGTGACAATCTTTATTTATTTTTTTCATCACAAAACAAATTTCTATTTCTAACCAACTGCATTTTATGTAACTTAATGATACTCTGATGCACAATTTAGAAAAAAGAAATCTATAACTAAAAAAAAAAAAAATGTCTGATGCACAATTTAGAAAAAACATTTAGACAAAAATTATTTTTTTTAATGACATTAGTTCGGAACCTCCAACACTTGTTCATTTGATGGCTCGTCCGAATTTCACCAATGAAAAATATTCTGGAAAACAATTTGGAGCAACAAAAGAGGGCATGAAAATGGACCAATAATAATATAGTTATAATAATATAAAAATATTATGTAAATATTTTGCAGTACACCGATAGGCACATTTTCCTGCTATTTGGCTCACGGAACATTTAGTGGCTGTCCCTTAGACATCAATCATCTCTTTTTTGGTGCCACA